TGTTGGGCTGCTGGTCTACCTGCCATTTTTGCGTTCCATTGCCAGTTCCTATCTCATCTCCCTCCTCCAACTCCCCTCCTCTCCTAACCTGCCGATTCATACACCCTTTTTGTCTTCTGTTGTCCTTTCCTGTTATCCCTCCCTTCTCCAATTTTTCCCTTTCCCTAACCTGCCTACTTGTGTACCATTCCTGCCTGCCATCATCCTCTCCTATCGCTCTTCCCTTCTCCAAATTATCTCTCCTCCTCTTCTGCCGGTCTACCTGCTGTTCCTGTTTCCCATCATGCCTTCCTATCAACCTTCCTTTCTCAGGTAGTTTGTCTACCCCCTCAGTCTGCCAATCTCCCTGCTGTTCATGTCCTGCCCGATCCATTCCTGTCCCTCTTTGCTCCCTCAACACTTCTCCCCCCCACCTGCCGATCCGTCCATGCCTGTATTACATCATTCATTCCCATCACTCCTTCTTTCTCCAATTCTCCTCTATCTCTAACCTGCCCGTCCTGCCCTACGTCATCCATTCCTGTCAATCCCCCTTCCTTCAACCCTCCCACCTGTTGATTAACATATCGCTCCTGCCTTTTGGCAACCATTCCTATCGATGTTCTCCTCCTCAATATCTTTCCCCTCCTAGTCCGCTGCTCTACCTGCTGTTCCAGGATGAACAGCAGGCAGGTCAGCAGATTACCGGGGGGGGGGGACATTGGAGAGGGGAAGATGGACAGCAGTGGAGGAGGGCAAACAGGAACAGCAGGCAATGAGTAGGCAGTTGGATCAGCAAGGGGATAAAAAGAACTTTCCCACCCCCTAAGCCCCACTCTGAGGACGCTGGCAGAGGACCAGCGAAAGCTAAGTTGTTTTAACCTTGTATATAACTGTTTTTATTGTTTTTAAATGTTGTTTTAACAATAAATAACTGGAGTATACTCTTCCCGGAGATCGAAGATTGCATCATTGAACAAATATGCCTGGGATTCGTATTTTTACAACCATTAAGGATATGTATGTATGTATGTATGTATGTATGTATGTATGTACTATATGTATGTATGTATGTGTGTGTGTGTGTGTGTGTTTAATAAAAATGCTGAGCTTTCGTCAGCCAGCACTGCCAACATCATCAGAGCATAGAAACAAGTCAATGGAAGTTCCCTTTTTTTTTAATAACACCGGCCGATTTTGCGCACGGCTCCTGGACCTAGCCATCGGTCCATCTGATGTCTCTGATTGTTTCATTCTTGAAAGGCACGTACTCGCTGTTCCCTTGATGGTTTTTAAAGCCGCAATTCCCTTATCCACTTTCTTTTCTCCAATCCCCTCCCTTATGCACCCCCTGCTGTCTGTCATTGCACCACCAATTTTTAGGGCTGCTGTTTCCCCCCCTCCTTCCTTTTGCCCATCACTTTCTTCGTATGTATCCCATCAACCAGATTCGTTGTTCCTTCCTCCCCCTCTTTTTCGGTCGTTTCCTCCCCCTCCCCCCCTCTCTCTCTCTCTGTCACACACACACACACACACACACACACACACACACACACACACACACAGAGCAAACTTCCTGAAACTGTTGTGGAAGATGCTGGAAGAAGACATCTTACTTATGTGATACTGGATATAGCTTAAATTTATTTTTTACACTGCATGCAAACTTTTTGAGAAACATCCTTTTAACCAAAAGAAGGTGATGATTGAACATGCTGTTTATGCTTTGACAATGAAACATGGGTTGTGTTCTTTCTTGCCAAGTCAAAGCTGATTTAACAAATATTTATGCCTTGATTAATTTCACTAGTCGCTAAAGGCTCCCTGCAATGGGCAATAAGTTATGCTGCAGTTTTGATGGTTGGCATTTTAGTGATATTTCCAGGATAACTTGAAGGGCTGTTTACCTCTGCTTACCTGTTCACTGGTATACAACAAGATAAACATATTACCTAAAAAGGGCTGTGGATCAAATTTTATTTGGGAACAGTGATGCTTTGTAGGAATTGTAGGAAACATTTTAGGGTAATTTTTATTTATTTTGGTTCTTTAAGAATATCAAATCTATATACGACTAAAACTCTTGTGTCTGAGGGTAAAGGTTCATTCTCCTAGCTTGTGGGTTGGTTTCTGAACATTTCGTTACCAGGGTAGGTAACATCTTCAGTAAAGTTTAGGGGGTGTCAGTGTTCGGTTTATAAGGGCTGCAGGTGTGGGTGTGTCAAGTGAGGGTCTTGTGAAGGGTCAGGTGTGAGTCATCAGTGAGAGGCTTGTGATAGATCTTGTAATAGGAAGGTTAGATCAGGTCAGGATCATTGGGAGGTGAACAGCTGGTGGGGGGGACAAGACCCATCACAAGACCCCTACCTGACACACCTGCACCTGAAGCCCTTATAAACAGAAGAACACTGACTCTGACATCCCCTAAACTCTGCTGAAGGTATTATCTAGCCTGGTAATGAAACATTTTGGAAACCAACCCACAAGCTCAGAGAACGAACCTTCAACCTCATCCTATACCCAAGCTACAGATATTCACCACTATTACAAACTCTTGTGTCTGTTTGATTGTGTGTAACCTTCAGTTGGCGAAATGGTGATTCATAGAACAACATTTTTAAAAGAAATATACCTCAAATGGGCTAACATATAGAATACATCCAAAATCTGTGACCCATTATTCCAGTGGGATTGAATTTGGCAAAGTTGTGGCTGCTTCATTATTGCCATGCTGCCATACTGCTATGGTCAACTACAACCATGTGATCTTCATTTCCAGTGTTCCCTGCCAGCTTCCCATAAGGAAAATAAATGGAGGGGGGAGGGAGGGAGGGTGTGCAGGCAAGGCACAGCACGGGTGGGGCGGAGTGACAAGGAAGGTGTAAGGAAGGTGCAGCACATATCTGGGAGGCTTTTGAGGGACAGTGTGTGAGAGGTGCTGTAAGGTTGAAGGAGATTGAATGGGGGATATGGGAAAGGTGGACATTGTTCAAAGAGGCTGAATGAGAGGGGCCATGCAGATCAGGGAGCTTACATAGGGGTGCAATGCAAGTTGTAGAGAATGCATATTGTTGCAAGGGGATGGACAAGGAAGGACAGGGAAGATCCAGGAGGTTGTGCAGGAGTGTGCAAGTGGTAGGTAGGGAAATATCTCTGAAACAATGACCAAGAGATCACAGGCTATCTAGTGATATACATCTGACCAAGAATTTATAATGCCTTGCTGAGACCACACTTGGAATACTGCATCCAGTTTTGGTTGCCACAATATAAAAAAGATGTCGAGACCCTAGAAAGAGATGATCAGGAGACTGGAGGCTAAAACATATAAAGAACAGTTGCTGGAATTGGGTATGTCTAGTTTAATGAAAAGAAGGACTAGGGGTGACATGATAGCAGTGTTTCAATATCTCAGGGGCGGCCACAAGGAAGAGGGAGTCAAGCTATTCTCCAAAGCATTTGAAGGCAGGACAAGAAGCAATGGATGGAAACTAACCAAAGAGAGAAGCAACCTAGAACTAAGGAGAAATTTCCTGATAGAACAGTTAAGAAGTTGTGAATGGAAGTTTTAAAGAAGAGATTGAGCAACTATTTGTCTGAAATGGTACAGGGCTTCCTACCTGAGCAGGGGGTTGGACTAGAAGACCTCCAAGGTTCCTTACAACTCTGTTATTCTATACTATTCTATTCTAATTAATAGAATAGAATAGAATAGAATAGAATAGAATAGAATAGAATAGAATAGAATAGAAGGGACCTTGGAGGTCTTCTAGTCAGGAGAACCTGTACCATTTCAGACTGTCTAGCCTCTTTTTAAAAACCTCCAGTGATGGGGCACCCACAATTTCTGAAGATAAGCTGTTTCACTAGTTAATTGTCCTCATTGTTAGGAAGTTTCTCCTTAATTAATTCCAGGTTGCTTCTCTCTTTGGTTAGTTTCTAACAATTGTTTCTTTGAGGAATAATTTGACCCCCTCTTTATGGCAGCCCCTCAAATACTGGAATACTACCACCATGTCACCCTATTTCTTCTATTCTTTAGAATAGCCAAACCCAAGTCCTGCAGCCATTCTTCATATGTTTTACTCTCCAGGCCTTTGATCATCTTAGTTGTGTTCTCTGAACTTTTTCCAAAGTCTCAATATCTTTTTTGTAGTATAGTGACCAAAATTGGTTGCAGTATTCCAGATGTGGTCTTACTAAGGTTTTATAAAGCTATACTAATACTTTGCGTGATCTTGTTTCTATGCCTCTGTTTATACAACCCAGGATTGTATTAGCTTTTTTGGCTGCTGCTGCATACTGCTGGCTCATATTCAAGTGATCATCCACTAGGACTCCAAGGTCCTTCTCACAGTTACTGTTTTTGAGTCAGGTCTCACCTAATCTGTACTTATACCTTGAGTTTTTTCTGCCTAAATGTAAAACTTTGCTCTCCTCCCCATTAAAATTCATTTTGTGGATAAGGCCCATTGTTCAAGTTTGTCAAGATCTTTTTGGATCCTGAGCTTATCTTCTGGGATGTTGACTATTCCTGCCAGTTTAGTATCATCTGCAAATTCCCTCATATAAGTCATTTATGAAGATATTGAAGAGTATTTGGCCTAAGACAGAGCCTTGTGGCACCCCACTGCTTACTTCTGTCCATGTGGATGTAGTACATTGAGGACTACTCATTGCGTACGGTTTGTCAGCCAGCTACAAATCCCTCTGGTGGGGATGTTGACTATTCCACATTTTTCTAGTTTATCAAGAAGTAGGTTGTGGTCTACTTTGTCAAATGCCTTACTGAAATCTAAATATACTATGTCCATAGCATTTTGCTGGTCTACTAGTTTAATCACTTTATCAAAGAATGAAATGAGATTGGTTTGGCATGATCTGTTTTTAACAAATCCGTGCTGGCTACTAGTTATAACTTTGTTTGCTTCTAGTTGTTCACAGATCTGTTTTTTATTATCTTTTCCAGGATATTTCCAGGTATTGATGTTAGACTGATTGGTCTGTAGTTTCCTGGGTCTGTTTTTTTTCCTTTCTTGAAGATGGAAACCACATCAACCCTTTTCCAATCCTCAGGTACTTCCCCAGTGCTTTAGGATTTTTGAAAGATATGGTACAATGGTTCTGAGATAACATCTGCCAGCTCCTACAGAACTCTGGGATGTAATCTGTTGGGTCCCAGTAATTTATATTCGTCAAGGTCGGATAGGTCTTACCATTTTCTTGCTCAATTTAATTTTTATTTCTAGTTTGTCTTTTTGCAGTAGTGTTTTTGGTACATTGGGCTATAATTTCTTTTTGTATGAAGACTGATGCAAAGAATGAACTAAGCAGCTCTGCTTTCTCCCTACTGCCTGTTACTTCCTTGCCATCTTCACTCTTGAGTGGACCTACTGTTTCCTTGACTTTTTTCTTGTTATTAATATGTTAAAGAAACTTATTTTATTGTTCTTGACTTCTATTGCAAGTCTTTGTTCATTCTGAGCCTTTGCTTTCCTGACTTCATCTTTGCATGTTCCGGCTGTCTGCTGATAATCAACCTTAGTTATGTGTCCCTCTTTTCATTTTTTCTACTTGTCCTTTTTGTCTTTCAGTTTGTCAGAGAGATCTTTGTGCAGCCATGTGGGTTTCTTCTTGAATTTCTTGTTTTTGTTTTTCGGTGGTATTGTGCTGGACTGTGCTTTTATGATTGCATATTTCAGATTTTCCCATGCTTCTTGGGTTGTTTTCCCCTTTAGGATTTTCATCCATGGAATCTTTCCTAGGTTCTCTCTGAGTTTGTTAAAATCAGCTCTTTTAAATTTTAAGACACTGGTTGGGTTATTTTCTTTGGCTTGTGTGTGCATTATATTAAATTCCATATGTCGTGGTCACTTTCGCCCAAGGTTCTGGCAACTTCGACTTCCTCTCTGATCATTACTTTTAAACTGATTATTATTATTTTTTAGGCATAGCTGATATTTTTGGATCCTTGGTTTTCGCTAATCCATAAATAAATAACTGTTCACATTAAGCATGGATAAAATATTGTTAGTATTATTTTTCCTTTAAGTTTTTAGTTTTAATTTTTTTTTCTTTTTTGGATTAAAAAGCTCCCATAACTGCTACTTCAGATAGAAGATTGCATATTAACATTATTTGATAGACAAATATCCCTTTCTTTTTAAAAATATCGTCCCTAATCTTTATTCTTTAATTCTTAATTTATCTTACCTTTTGCATTTTTGTATAGTAGGTATATATCTATAAGCATAATATAAACATCAGTGTTTGGTTTTCCCAACTTATGTTATTATTCAAAGATATACAATTTTGGAATGATAAAATATAAGAGTTTCCTGTAAAGCAGTGGTTCTAATGCCGCGACCCCCAACTGGTTGTAAGTCGAGGACTACTCAACCGGTCGTAAGTCGAGGACTACTCAACTGGTGCAGCACCGTTTGCAGAATGGGACTTTTGGTGGGCTTAACAGGGCAGAGACAGCCTGGACAATTCCTATTGGCTTTTGAAAGCCAATAGAATTAGACTCTATTCAAGAGAATCTATTCTATTGGCTTTCAAAAGCCAATAGAATAAAAGGGAGTAGCACAGCTAAGGAAAAGGGGGAAAAAATGGCGGACTGCGTTGTTTGGTGACCCCCGTGAAATGGTCGTTCGACCCCAAATGGGGTCCCAACCCACAGGTTGAGAACCACTGCTGTAAAGCATAGAAAAAAATGGAAACTTTGTAATATTGATTTAAATCAGGCAGATCAATGCTAATTTTCTGCTCTTTCCACCTTTCTTTCATATATGTTTTTGTCTCGCAGTAATATTGGTTCAGATTCAAAACTAATTTCTGCATATGTGAACTTGACCTATTCTTTTTATTTTATCTCTCCTGGTTTACAGAAAGCCAGCTCTTACCTTGGAATAATTTCACAAATGAATGTAATATTCCTGGAAACTTCATGTGCAGTAATGGACGCTGTATCCCAGGAGCCTGGCAGTGTGATGGGCTGCCGGACTGCTTTGATGAAAGTGATGAAAAGGAATGCCGTGAGTATACTATACTTTGAATAGTGAAGCTTAAACCTACTGTATGTAATTCAGTGCATCTTCTCAATGAGGATTGATAAGAAGAGAGACAGACAAGTTATCCTATAGGATGTGCAGGGTTCTAAAGTGACAAGACTTTCAATAAGGAGTCTCCCAAATGTTATAGGATGGGCAGATTCACTTTGGAGCAGGCTTTAGAGATGATCAGGATGGACTTTAAAGGTGATTTGCAATACTTTGAATGAAATCAGAAGCTCACTAGCATCAGTGCAGCTTCTGGACTAACATTGCTCCATGGACAAATCTAGATGTGGCCATCATTCAACCCAGGCTAGTAGATGCTGAACCAGTTTAAGCTTCCAGATGGTTTTCAAAGGGAGTGAATTGTGGTAGTACAGTCATGTGGTAGGCAGGAGCGATTGTAAGCAACATCTCCAGGAAGGTTTGCATTGAGGCATAAGATGTAATTGGACATAGGCTGCCTAGGCATGGTCACCCCGTTTGCGCAAGCTAAAGCAGCAAGTCCTGGAGAACCCCCAGACTGTTAACTAGTTCTGCATAGGTGGGATCGACCCATAACTATAGATGAACCATCTTTGGAATCAGAAAGCTGTTATTCCAAAAGCTAGAGTTCAGCCTAAGTCTATCCATATCCTAACAGCTTCCTGCTTATATTCAACCATCATTTAGTCCTCAACTTGCAGCCATTCATTTAGTGGCCATTTGAAGTTTCAATGGCACTGAAAAAAGTCACTTATGACTGTTTTTTACATCCCCATGGTTACGTGATAAAAATTTGGATGCTTGGCAACTTGCATGTATTTATGACAGTTGCAGTATTCTGGGGTCATGGGATCACCTTTTGTCACCTTCTGACAAGCAAAGTCCATGGGGAAGTCATATTCACTTAACACTAATTTAACAACTACAATAATTCACTTAACAACTGTGGCAAGAAAGGTCATCATGGGGCAGAACTCATTTAACAACTGTCTTACTTAGCAATTGTTTTGTGCTCAACTGTGGTTGTAAGAGAAGGAAAATTGATTTGTGTCCTTGATGGATGTTTCCTTCCTCATTAGAAGCATCATTATTTTCTTATTTTTATAGAAAATGGCCCTGAGATTAAGTAAAATTTATTAGCACGATCACCACCACCTGCCTGGAAGAGCTTACTCAAAAGCACTGTGTTTTTTGTGATTGAGTGGACATTTGAGTGGACAGTCTCAGTTCAAACTAGAAATGATCAAATATTCCAAGTTTTAGTTTCTTAATTTCCATGGATCAAAGCTGTCCTACATTCCTCAAACTGGGAGATGCTTTGCAAGCTGTAAAAGTTATCTGCAGGTGACATGTTCTTATGAAATTGCATTTAGTATTCTGTTATTCCAGATCTTGTTTACTTATTAACATAATTATGTCCCCCAAGTTGGTAGGTTGAATTTCAACATTCGTATCCTGATAATGATAACTTCAGACAGCTTCTTGAAGAACCCTGTTGGTGCAGTGGTTAGAATGCAGTGTTGCGGGCCAACTCTGCCCACAGTCAGGAATTCGATCCTGACTGGCACAAGGTTGACTCAACCTTCCATTTTTGTGAGGTTGGTAAAATGAGGACCCAGATTGTTGGGGGCAATATTCAAATAATGCTTACATTATAAACCTCCCAAAAAGTACTGCAATGCAGTATGGGGCAATATATAAACCTAAAGCTATATTACTAAATGGCCCTGAGAGTTAAAATTACCAACCCAATCACCACCATCTACCTGGAATAGCTTACTATTCTATATTTGTATGATCTTTAGTACAGCTGTTTAGTGCCTTTGGTTCAATTCTAGAAAAGTGCCTCAGAGGATATAGGGATGCTCCTTAAAGCGCCTGCATCTTACTGATGATATTGGGGCAGCTGCAGAGGCCAGGTATGAAATCTCACAAAAGTTGCCTCTTTAAAGTATTGTAGATGTGATCTGTTTTTACCCTTATAAATTTGAGAAGCCATTGATTTCAATTGGGAAGACTCTGTTCCAATGAGCTTTATACATTTTTGCAAAGATTTTCTTTATGCTTTCTGTCCTAGTTTTTATATTCCATTTCAGGGATATAAAATAACTTTATATTCTAATAGAATGGTTGTTGCCCAGAACTGTGTGGCCCTGAACTATGTAAAATAAAATTGTTTTTAAAAAAACCAAAGCATTAAGAGTAAAAACTAGATGGGATTTCCTTTTCATATCACAAACATATCTTAAATTAGCTGTGCTGAGATTGACCTTATGAGGCCTGAGATGAAGATTACTCAAGATTTATTTATCTCTCTGTCCACAATAATCAAAATCTGAACGTCATCCTTAAATCTTGTGAAAGAACTATATATATTTATATTTGTTTTCTGGGGTTTTCGTGGGTGTTGGTATGTAGGTCTTTGGTTATTCGGGTTTTCTCCCGCGTCAAATTGGAAGTGTCTTGGTGACGTTTCAATGAAGTCTCATTCGTCATCTTCAGGCTGGTGTTTTTGGCTTTGTGCTTCTAGGAGCACGAAGCCGAAAACACCAGCCTGAAGATGATATATAAAACCCACATAAGAGGCTTTTTACTTCTGTTTTCATATAACTTCTTTATTTCCTCTATTGCATGATATTGCCCTCGTGAAAATAGAGAATTAATGAAGTGTTCCAAACAGAATTTATATTTTGCTTATGAATGAATCAGCAAGTGGCTTGGCAGTGGGCACAAACTACATAATTGTTTTGTCACTGAGAATAAAATGGAATCCAGTAGAATTCTGATAGGAGAGAAAACACTGTAACTGCTGATAAAATCTTAAACAGTTGTAAAACCTTAGTTCATAAAACTGATTTCTTCAGTTGAATCAGCTTAAATCTTGGGATTGTTAACTGATGCTCATGGAGAATTATATGTTCTTTCTTTCCAAGATTATTGAAATAATTTAGCTGGGTCATTTTTATTTCACCCATGCAGAGATAATCATCCTGTTCTTTTTTTCATCTTTCCTTATCTTTGGATAGTAGCATAGCAAAATTCATGAATAAATTTGAACAAGAGTAAAGGGAAAAGAACCTTTGAGCAGGTGATTCATTTCCTGTGCTATCCTACATTGACAGAGGAGCTAAAAGAAACAAAGAGAGGAAAAAAATAGAAGACTGCCTTTATAGTTTCTGGTTCAAGTTACTGTGAAGGGCTGCAGACTGTAATTTCTTTTTATATGAAATCTGTCTCCATATATAAGAGTGATTTAATTTACCTTTGAAAATGGAATAAATGATAAGAACTGTAATGATTTATTAAAATAAGTGAAGGAAAAAAGTAAGCCCACTGTTAACATGGCACAAAAAAATGAATATAGTGAACTAAATAAAACATCCTATATGCCCATAAAACTTATAAAATATGAAGACTCTGGTTGTAGTCTCCAATTGGAAAAGAGCATTTCACATCTGTGTACCACAGATAAGAAAGCCCAGTTTTGTATATGGTTATTCACATTCTCTCTCTCACAGACAGACTGACAGACAGACAGAGTGAGCAGGGCCAGGTCCATAACTACTATTTCCGAAATATCACTTGGGCATCACAGCTATGTTCCCTAATCATAACTGACACCAATTACTCTTAATATTACACTATAAAAATAGATTCAATATATTCAGTATAATCACTTCCATTCAATCAGTTTTGCTATCTGATTTATAATTTAGAATCTAAAGCTCTGCATGAAAAAAATGGAATAGAGACTTATTTATCCAGAAGATGAAATTTTAGGAAAAAATATGAGTGAGGGGTCCTTGGTGCTCTCTGAGCTGGCTTCTTTTCTTGCAAACATTTCCTTACCCGAACTAGGTAACATCATCAATGCTAGTGCTAAAATATGAATCTTGGACAACAAATGTTCTTTATCTCTAATTTAACTAGCCGGGATATATATATAGAATACATATGGTAATTCAAAACCTTCAAGTACCCAATAAAGTGGACTGGTCACAAAAGAGGTTTGTGTGAAGTGTGACTGATGATGTTACCTAGCTGGTAGTGAAACATCTGCAAGCAAACAACCATGAAACATCTGCAAACAACCAAGCGAGCTCAGAGAGGACCAAGGACTCGACAGTTCTACTTTGACCTACATATATTCTCTTCTATTGGATATTTTTCTACGCATCTGTTTTACAAAATAATCTTGGCATGCAGCAATACTTAACTGTCAGTTTTTCCAGGCAAACTAGACAGAAAACACAGCTTTACCATGAACCATACATTAGCATAATCTTGCAAATCTGAAGGTACAAGTCTGCTGTGGCCACTTACCTGATCAATTCGGGCTGGTGCTTCTTAAGTTTTTTCCTCTGACTGTTAAGCCACTACTAGGGGCTCTTCCCCCTCTTGTCTAATTGTTTCCTAAGCAGCATCTCTTCTTGGAGTTCTTCAAGGTCATTCTCACATAACATTACCTTAATTGTATAAAATATCAGTGTACAAGCTCCTTTTTGTTTCTTACTTTCTTAAGAAAATTTAATTTTAAGAGTAGCTTATACGACTGCATGAATATTTAAATCTGCACCCGCTGTGAGTCACTTTTACAACTCAGATGGCATACAAGTCTATTAAATAAATAAATGTACAATTTCTGACCCCTGTTCTTGCACTAGATACTTTAGCATGACTTTAACAAATACAGAACTCTGCAGCATTATTTTCAATTCACTCATGAGAAGTGAAATCCTTCTGAGTAAATTTAAATTTTCGTTTGTACTCTAACCTGTCTGTTAAAAATGTTGATAAGTGTTGAAGTCTTGTAAAAGGTTTTAACAACATCCTGGAAAAAGTATTCCTAATTAAATTAAGTTTAAGTTTCATTAGTAGTTATTCTTTTCTGATGTACGGCATACCCTACATGATGTTTGAGAAATATACAAATGGTAATCATAAAATAATCCTTCAAATATTTATAGTAAATATTCCTAATCATATTATTTTATTCA